GTTATGATTTTATTATACTAATGTTTATGTTGTATGGAGTAAGTTGTACAGATTATTATGTTTCCTATTCACTTATTAGTCTATGTCTCTTTTAGATAGTAGTTTAAGATAATGATTTATGCATGATCATAATCAATGAAAATTGTTACAATTTGGAAGAGCCATTTGGTGAAATCAGGACAAAGGAAAGCAAAGAAAGTAAAACAATCTATTTTGAAAACCGGCATACAAAAAGAAAGAAAGAAAGAAACGCAAGATAGATTTAGCACGGAGATAATTAGCAAATGCGTCCCTGCTCTTGCCCAAACTGTGGAATCTAACCCTTTTTGGGAGCAGCAGGGAGGGTAAAATTACATTTTCAACGATTCCGAGTCAACTCCAGAGGCCACACAATTAATGGAATTGCCTGGCCTGTGAGAATTCACTCAGGGGGAGGGGGGGGGTAGAGGGGGGTAGTCCTACATTTGGGTGATTCCTTTTTCGTCCGGTTGAGTCATGTTCGTTTGGCACAGGTGAGTCGATTATCGTTCAGGTGAGTCGTGAATTCTGAATCCTCCACGCCTAATTTCACCGATTTCTTTTTCCATTACTTTATTTTTTATCATTTCGACCCGCTATTCCTGTCGTTGTCAATCATCATTTAGGCGAGTTAGGGAGAGACTGAATAGTTCTGACTGAGTGAGCCAAGGGAACGAGTTGAGTGAAGCAGTGAAGCGAATCAGTTCGGGTGTTTCGGACAAATGAACCACTCAGGTGTATTTTTGCCGCAGGTGAGTGTCTTTTCCATGATCTTCGTTCTGTGTGGAAAATTTGCACTCAGATACTTGGCATGAAACCGCAGAGTATGAAATTGATGCAAAATTAATGTCCTTTGTAGCATGTGTGACTATTCGTTTTATTATTCTTGTTGTTAAGGTATCGAACTTTTTTTTTTTTTTTTTTTTTGACGGACGTTGCTGCGATGAATAAAAATGTATTTATGTCCATGATATTGTTCAGAACATGTGTAAATTTTCCGGCTTTTTGTTGAGTCTGACGGGGAATGTGTCTATTACAAAGGAAGGAGAGAACAAAGGATGAAGAGGGAAACACAGAGAGAGAAAGAGAGAGAGAGAAAGAGAGAGAGAGAGAGAGAGAGAGAGAGAGAGAGAAGTAGAGATGGTGTGGTTGTACACACATACATATTCCACTATGTACATAGGTCTCTCTCTCTCTCTCGATGTATCTCTCTCTCTCGTCTTCTCTCTGTCTCTCTCTCTCTCTCTCTCTCTTCTCTCTCTCTCTCTCTCTCTCTCTCTCTCCTCTCTCTCTCTCTCTCTCTCTCTCTCTCTCTCTCTCTCTCCTCTCTCTCCTCTCTCTCTCTCTCTCTCTCTCTCTATATATATATATATATATATATATATATATATATATATATATATATATATTATATACACACACACACACACACACACACCACACACACACACACACACAACACACATATATATTTATATATATATATATATATACACACACACACACACACACACACACACACACCACACACACACACACACACACACACACACACACACACACACACACACACACACATATATGTATATATATATATATATATATATATATATATATATATTATATATATATATATTATGTGTGTGTGTGTGTGTGTGTGTGTGTGTGTGTGTGTGTGTGTGTGTGTGTGTAGATACATAGAGAGAGAGAGGGGGGGGGGGGAAAGAGAGAGAGAGGACAGAGATGAGAGAGAGAGACATACAGAGAGAGTGATGAGAGAGAGAGACATAGACAGAGACGAGATAAGAGAGAGAGAGAGAGAGAGAGAGACAGATAAGAGAGAGAGAGAGAGACATGCAGACAGATAAGAGAGAGAGAGAGAGAGAGAGAGACATACAGACAGATAAGAGAGAGAGACAGAGACAGATAAGAAGAGAGAGAGAGAGAGAGAGAGACATACAGACAGATAAGAGAGAGAGAGAGAGAGAGACATACAGACAGATAAGAGAGAAAGAGAAAGAGAGAGAGACATACAGACAGATAAGAGAGAGAGAAAGAGCACGTTAACCGCAAGCGGAGCCTCCGCTGCGAGTCAAGAGGACCTTCTTTCTCTCCCCTTAATCATTTGTTCAATCAGTGTTGCCAAGGGTTGTGGGGAGCATCGAGTGGCATAAATTTTTCATAATGACCTGTGACCTTCTTCTTAGCTTGACATTTATTCCGCTCGCTTGATATTAAATCAAATCTAAGAATGAACAAAGAACATCGATTTGTTTATAATTTGAATAATTGGAATTCTTGTGTTTGGTCAGGCCAGGGGGCATAATGATAAGACAGAAAGCCACTTCTCGTTTCCATGTTAATTAATTTGAAAATTTTTACTCTTCTGTTCATCATGATCGACATTTCTTTTCTATTTGAATTTTCGAATGAAACTGAACTTTTTTTTCTAAATGCTTCGTCATTCTCTTCTGTCCCGCAG